TCTCTATTCAGCCGCTTCACTAGTAGTAACAACATGGGCTAAATTTTGGGCTCGGGCCCAAGCTCGGGCCCAGGCTCGGGCTTCAGGCTTTTTATGAGTTCCGGGCTTGGTCCCAAGTTGTAGGCCCGATGGTTAGGCTGGGCTCGAGCTCAAGCCTTAGAAAAATCTGTTAATACAGAGTGAAAGCCCAGCCTGAGTCCGGCTTGGCCTGGCCCATGAATAGGTCTACCATCAAGAAGTGCCCGAGGTCGTAGGAGAGCCTCTTCAACGTGGTTCAGAGAGAAGGGGAGTCGATTAGAAGCTACATCAAGCGCTTCAACGACACCTGCCTATAGATCCCCGACTTAGACTCGGCGGTAAGACTCACGACATCCAAGAAGGAATAACTCACAGAGAGTTCAAATGGCATGTGGTGGCTAATAAATCTAAGGACATCACAGAATTCCTCAAGCTAGCTAACCAGTTCATTGGAACCAAAGAGGATATGAATCGGAAGACGAACAACCCGACAGAAAAAAGAAAAAGAGACAATGACAACGTAGGTAGTGACAAGCACAAAAGAAGAAATAGTAACTCCTTGAGCAGGGGAGGAAACAAGTCAGGGAGCCGATCTCCTTCGCGATCTCGCAAGTCAGGTCGGCACTCTAGGACCCCACCTATTGAAAGGATGAACTATACAGCTCTCAATGCTAAGCGAGGAGAAATCTTAATGGCCATCAAAGACTCCTCCTTTGTTAGGTGGCAACAAGAAATCAGAACGTTACTATCATTTCGACAGAGACCAAGGGCATAGTACAGAGAACTGTAGAAACCTCCATGACAAGATAGAAGAGCTCATCTGCCATAAGTACTTGAAAAAATTTGTACAACAAGAAGAAAGAAACTAGGCAGACCGACAAGCAGATCGGCAGGGGGACTAGAGAAGGAATGCCCCTGAGTCCAGCAACAAGCAGAACGAATAGCTGCTACGGCAGTTACCCGAGGAGAGATTGACCCGCGGGGTAATCAATATGATTACTGGCGGGTCCATCATTGTAGGGTGTACTTCAGTAGTTGGATGAACCTCAATCCACGAACTAGAAAACGAAGAGGAGAATCCACCGAAGTGATCCCGACTTGAAGACCCAATTTACTTCACAGAGGATGATGCGCATGGGATACAATATCCTCATGATGACGCTTTGGTGATAAAACTGAGACTCAATGACTTCGAAGTCAAGCGCATCCTGGTGGACTCAGGTAGCTCGGTAGACATATTGTTCAAGGACACCTTCGACAAGCTGCAGCTCTAGAAAAGCGATCTAAAGCCGATAGATACTCCCTTGGTATGCTTCAGCAACGAGGAGGTCAGACCTCTAGGGTGAGTTTCAATACCCATAGAGGTCAGCACATGGCCGAATATCACGAGGTTCAAGCACATGTTTTTGGTGGTCACAACTCACTCTCCTTACAATGCCATAGTAGGTCGACCCATTACGCATGCTCTACGTGCGGTAGTATCCATTTACTACCTGGCAATGAAGTTCCCAACAGACTATGGAGTAGGGGTTGTGTAAGGTGACTGGCTCGAATCTCGCAAGTGCTACGTAGTCACCCTCAAGGGGAAAGCAAAGCTAGCAGCTGACGTCGAGCTCGATCGACCAACAGAGTATGCCAATGAGCGAGCTGCACCACCAGAAGAGACGGTCCACATCCCGGTCTCAACCGGTGACCCAACCAAGACTCTCCAGATTGGAGATTCGATCGAGGAGCCACTTCACTCTCAGCTGGTAAGCTTCTTACTACAAAATTTAGATATATTTGCTTGGTCCGTGACAGAGATGCCCATAATAGATTCCAAGATTATAACTCACAAGTTAAATATTGATCCCTTAGTCAAGCCAGTTAGACAGAAAAAAGCGCAACCTCGCCCTAGAATGCTGGAGGATAGTCGATGAAGAGGTCGGTAAGCTCTTAGCGGCTGACTTAATCAGGGAAGTCCATTACCTGAGCTGGGTAGTTAACCTAGTTCTAGTAAAAAAGGCCAACGGCAAATGGCGCATGTGCGTCGATTACACCGACCTAAATAGAGCCTGCTTGAAAGACAACTTCCAGCTGCCCAAGATCGATCGCCTAGTGGACGCGACCTCAGGGCATGAGTTGCTAAACTTCCTGAATGCCTATTCCGGTTACAACCAGATTAGGATGGACCCCGTCGATGAAGAAAATACTGCCTTTATAACTGAGCTCGAGTTGTATTGCTACAAGGTCATGCCCTTCGGACTAAAAAATGCCGGGGCAATCTTTCAAAGACTTGTAAACAAAATTTTTGAGCCATTAATCGATAATAAAGTCAAATGCTATGTTGATGACATGGTCGTGAAGACCTAGTATTCAATTTTTTTCTAGATGATTTGCAAAGTGTTTTTCAAATTTTACGAAAATATAATATGAAATTAAATCCTAACAAGTGTGTCTTTGGGGTCACCTCGGGTAAATTTTTTAGCTATATAGTCAATCGACGTGGCATCGAAGCCAACCCGGAAAAAATAAAGGCCATCTTAGATATGAGACCACCCCGCAAACTAAAAGAGGTTCAAAGGATAAATGGCCAGATAGCCGCCCTGAACCATTTTATGTCTAAATCGGCAGATCACTGCCTACCCTTTTTTAAAGCCATAAAAAGGAGTAGAGACTTCGAGTGGACTGCAGAGTATTAGCTCACCTTCGATGAGCTAAAAAGATACTTAGCTAGCACCCCGGTTTTGACCCAACCCGAGGAAGGGGATGTATTAAAGTTGTACCTCTTCGCAAGTGGCGAGGTGGTCAGCTCAGTACTAATCAAAGAGGTAGATCAGGTCCAACGACCCATCTACTATTTTAGCAAAGTTTTGTAAGACGCAGAAACCAAGTACCTGGAGATCGAGGAACTAGTATACGTGCTAATCATAGCAGCTCGCAAGCTTTGTCCACACTTCCAAGCCCACACCATCGTCGTCCTCACCAACAAGCCTCTGAGACAGATCCTGCTCAAGCCTGAGGTGTCTGATAGATTGACGAAGTGGGCTACTGAACTGATTGAGTACGACATTTGGTATGAACCTCGAACGGCTATGAAAGCCTAAGCCTTGGCCGACTTTGTGGAAGAATGCACATTTAGTACCGCAACTCCCGAGTTGACCGAGCTTGAACAGATGATGGAAGCATCAACCAGTGAGGCTCTGGTCCCGATCAGAGCAGGTCCAATCTGGGACGAGGAGCCCTAGGTTCTCCATGTTGATGGCTCGTCCAACCATTAAGAAAGCGGCACAGGAATAATTCTATACAGCCCAAGCGAAGTGAAGCTGGAATACGCACTCCGGTTTGGGTTAGTAGCATCGAACAATGAAGCAGAGTACAAAGCATTGGTCACCAGGTTCACCTTAGCATGGGAAATGAAAACAAAGCACCTCGTCATATGCAGCAACTCTCAGCTTGTAGTCAACCAAGCCAGCGGCAAGTATGAAGGCCGCGACCCCACCATGGCTGCTTACTTGGCCAAAGTTAGGGAGATCGTGTACGGCTTCATTTCCAATTTAATCAGATAGATTCCGAGGTCCGAGAACGTTGAGGCCAATGCCTTGTTCTGATTAGCCAGCACAAGCTACCACACCATATGGACTGTGTATATAGAGGACTTACCTCAGCATAGCATTCTTGGGGGGGGGGCAGGAGAGGTCGCTCCTGTAGCACAAGCAGAACCGAGCTAGATTGATCCACTCATGAGTTACCTGCTTCACGGGACCCTCCATGTAGAATGCAATGTGTCCTGAAGGGTAGAGTGCCAGTCGGCTAAGTACGAAGATCCTTCACGCTCCCCTACTTGTGCCGCTTGCGACCCTTAGAGGCCGAGTACGTACTCCGTGACACCCATGAAGGTTTGTGTGGCGGACACTTGGGGGGCAAGGCTCTCGCATAGAAGGCATTACGGTAGGGCTACTACTGGCCCACGATGAAGGCAGATGCACTCGAGCTCGTCAAGAAGTGCGACAAGTGTTAGAGGCATGCCAATATCCACCACTGACCTGCTGTCGATCTGAAATACCTCACTAGCCTATGGCCCTTCGCACAATGGTGGAAGAAGTACGAGACCTAGCATACATCCGGACATCAACTTACCAACAGAGAGTAGCTTTGTACTATAATGCCCAGGTCAAAAAGCGACACTTCCACGTCGGCGACTTGGTTCTTCGGAAGGTTATGGTACCTGAGCCCGACGTCGGTAAGCTCAGACCGAATTGGAAAGGTCCGTACCGAGTAAGACGGCTATTTGGGGAAGGTACATACGAGCTCGAGACTATGGAGGGGAAGCAAGTACCTCGAGCGTGGAACATTGGCAACCTAAGAAGATATTACTTATGACCACCGAATTGGAGAGAGGACTACGAGTCACTTCCAGAAGCCCAAGGGCTATAATGCCGAGCTGACGTAAGACCTCGGCACTACGATAAGTCACAACCACCTCTTCGGCATGGGCGAATAAGTCCCAGTCGCCTCTTCAGCATGGGTAGATAAGTCCTAGTCGCCTCTTTGGCATAGACAAATCAGTTCTCATGCCTAAGGCATAGACAGTTCGCGTACAAACTCTACTATGTCTAGCCCACCTCGGCATATAACGACAGGTTAATCGCCTTTGAAGTCAGGCCCGATGGCTCGGCACTAAGGGATAACCAACACCTGAGTGAGTAGGCCGTGTGCAGATAGGTAAGGTATATAACCTACAGTGTCCGCCCACCTCGGCATACAATCATGTGAAGTTACCCCTGCCCGTAGTCCAGCTCATTAGCTTGACAGTTCGGGGTAACCAACACTTAAAAAAGTTTACTCCTATTTTTGGTATAATTTGCCAGTTCGGGAGTTATTTACACTTAAAAAATTTTTGCACAAAGATAGCCAAAATACTTGTATTTCATTGATGTAAAGTTTTCAGTACAAAAAAAAAGAGAAGAAAAAAGAGAAACTTTCACTATGAACCGAGCTCGGAGGCTCGGGGTGTACATCATAAAGGTCCAAAAAAAGAGGCAAAAATCATGCATCCGAACTACTAGGCAAGTCAGTCTCCATGCGATCCTCCTCCGCATCCTCTCGACCTGATGGGCCCGCCTCAGGGACTTCATCATTGCTTTCCTCTTCGGAGGAGCCGGGTTCTTCATTGGCAGCCTTCACCGTCTCGGGAGTGAGGTCAAACCTTGAAACAACTCCGAGGTCCAGTTCGGTAAACTTCTGCCGCATCAGATATTTGCATAGTTTGAAGCCAGACTGGTAAGAGCTCGATCCGTACTTGACCTGGAGATTGTGGAACTCCGAAGACTCCTTGAAGCTTTCGACGGCACGCTCTCCTCCTCAGCTCACGCCTCTTGAATAGCAATCTCGAAAATCTCGGTGTGCTCTTTGATCATCGCATCGAGGTTTTCGTTCTCGCATTGGAGCTTCTCCTTCTCCTTAGTCAGTGCCAGGATCAGCTTCTATTGACTTCGAGCTCCTTTCTTAGCCTGAAGAACATCACCCTGAGCTAAGTCCAGCTTGTGGTAAAGTTTTTGAGCATTCTCCTCGGCTTCCCGAGTTCACCTGGCAAAAAGAAAGCAGAGGTAAGTACCCTTAAAAAGCGAACAAGGAAATGAAGTATAAAAGTAAAACACTCACCACCATACAGTAGCTAACAGCGAAATACGGCATCCTTGCTCTTGAGGAGTCCGAGCCGAGGGGTCATTATTCTCTCCTTCGAGAGCTAAGGTTCGGGCGTGGAAGCTTCCGATTCGCGAGGCGGAGCTTCTTCGTCCTTGTCTTCGTCCAGGTCCACGATAGGAGGCTAGGGACGGACCTCCTCCTTCGAAAGTTCGGCCGAGATCGGCTTCGGCGCAATGACCTCGAGCAGGATAGGGGAAGAGGGACCGGCCTCCCTGCGAGACTTCTTCGAGGCCTTCCTCTTTTTCCCTTTCTGAAAGCTCTTCAAAAGGTTCTCTGCATCGACCTCCAGCATAGCTATTGCAAGAAAAAAATAAAAGGTTAGTCGCGAACTAAAGAAAATTCAAAGTAAAAAGGAATATGAGCATCGAGGTGGAGGCCTACCAGGAGGGCCTAGCCTAACTTGCACAAGCTTCTCCTCAGCCAAGAAATCCCTCATCTCCAGGCTGAGGTCCCTCCAGGAGTTAACGACTACCCTGGTCTCCGCATCCAGCCTCAGCCTGGGGTCTTTAATAGCCACCCGCTAGTAAGTTGGGAAGGGCCACCCCTCAGGGTTCCGGACAAAAAAGCATCTCCTCTTCCAGGCCGGTATTTTGTTTGGGCTACCAAACAGGATTTTGAACCCAAGGCGATGAGAGATGTAGTAACTCTGTCAGATGTCCCTGCGTAGGCAAGCGGAGTTCTTTTGGATTGAGCAGATCGAGCTAAAAACGTCTAAGGACAAAGGTTGATTATACTTGTGGAATAGGGAGATTGTGCCTACTATTGTTCGGATGGAGTTCGGGTGTAATTGGTCGATGGTGATGTCAAAGAACCTAATTATTTCTATAATGAATGGGTGGAGCGGGAAGCGCACCCCAGCCGCAAGCTGCTCTTCGAAAACCGCGAACTCATGGTGACCATGAACCCAAGGGTAACGACCCAAAGGATTATTGAAAACTGAGTTATCGGGAAGACGGTAACGAGCTACCAAGGACAGTAGCTTGTCCGAGGTCATAGTGGAAGACCCGAAGTCATCTAGATTTTGACCCCGAGAAGAAGACGGGACCCCCTCTCTAGAAGTTAGTCCCTCCTCCAGAGCTACAGGCTCCTCAGGCCGAGATGGCCTGACTTCGGATAAAGAGGTTTCTCCTAAAGGGCGAGGGGGGAACTATCTAGCGAGGAGCTAACTTCGCTAGCGAGAGCCGGGGACTGCACCTCAGCACCCTCAAGCCCACTAAAGTCACTAAGGAACCTATCTATCCTAGCACTAGACATATTGAAACAAGAACAGAAAAGGATTACAAAATAAGGAAGAAAAGACGAACTCACCAAAAAGACGAAAATGATCTCGGAACACAAAGGGAGAAGTGGCAAGCTAAAGGACTCCGATGTAACCTCAAGAGAGCTCAATCATAAGATTTTTGGTGAAGAAGAGGGGCCTCTTGGCCCCCTATTTATAGCTCACCGCGTGGTGATCAACGACTCTCATTAAGGCTGGTCATATGACACCCGATGATGAAATCGATTGAATGCGCTCTTTAACGTCCGCAGAGTTTATAAGCATGATGTCCGTGCATACCTGGAATGCGACCTAGGTTTGAACCAGGCCCGGCCAGCGGTTCGCCAATGTAGATGCTTTTATTTGTTTTCTTCTTTCCTTTCGAGTTTCGATGCCAATGTAGATGCTTTTTTTCTGCTTGTTGTTTTGTTACTCATTAATGTAAAGAACAATATATACGACAAAGAAGCCTTAAATGTTTGTCGAGGACATAATGATGACAGAGCCTGACGACCAGTTGCCGTGTTGCACGTATTTACTAACATTTGGATCCATTAGTTATAGTTGATATAGCTTGATTTCCCCTTTCTTTTATTTGTTTCTTTATTAATTTTAGGAAATCAATAACTCAGTGGTAACAATGCGAAACTGCACTCATTTTCTTAGGCAGTCACATTTCAAAGACACCAATTTAGCTATAAATCCGTCAATGTTCTTATCTGAACTTCCACCTTCATCCACAGCTTCCCTGGCCAGATTCTTCCATTTTATGGCATTCTTCTTGATCTGTTTTCCTCTTTCTCCCTCCATGACTTCGACTATGCACCGTTCTACTTCTTCCCTACTTACAATCCCCTTATCATCAGGCCGAGCTCTGACTCCGATGCGCCATACATCCATGACAAGCTTCGCATTTGTGGTTTGGTCTGTCCACTGCGGCATCCCCACCATTGCTACGCCTGTGCTCAGTGCCTCCAGAGTTGAATTCCACCCACAATGCGTAATGAAGCAGCCTATTGCCTCGCGAGCTAAAACCTCCAATTGGGAGCACCATCTAACAATCAATCCCTTCTCTGCTGTCTCCATTAAAAACTCTCCAGGAAGTTTATCGTCCTGATCAGATCTCAACACCCATAAGAAGTAGGTGTTGCTCCTTCTCAAGCCCCAAGCTATTTCTTCAATCTGCTCCGCACTGAGAGCTGCCATGCTGCCAAACGACACATAAACAACTGATCTCGCAGCCCTCTTGTCCAGCCAGTTCATACAACTGCCCTTGTCTGGCTTGAAGAGATTCAGACCGTAATCCTTGTCACCTGCCACCCTTTTGTCTAGGTACATGGATGGTACTGCTGGTCCAATTGTTAGCAACGGCGTCGGCAAGCGTTTTGTCATCCACTCCACCACCTGATTGCAATTCAACAACATAGTGAATACGCTAGAAATTAAACTATCAATCAATCTTTAATTGAATAATATTGTTTTCTCTGAGCGATCGAGCTAGTCTGTTATGAAATAAATTAAGTAGTGTTATTTGAAGGTTGTAGAGCAATTTGATACAATACATATACTGACCTCACTCTCTAATTCGTTGAAGGAGTTGGCGAGAATCCAATCTGCATTCTCCACATTAGAGAATTGGTTTAAGACCATCGTGGTGTACGCTGGATATGAGGCTGATACAGAAATTAAAGATGGCCGGTCCATAACTTCCAGTGGTGGCAATCCAGGAATGGAGATAATTGAGTCTGAAACTGGGACCTTGAGTACACCCTGATGGACATGGTTGTATATGCTGTTAACAGCACAAGATTGAGTGAAGAATGGAGCTCCAAGTAAGCCAAACTGTTTAGCTACATCCAAAGCCCAGGGCATGAAGGGATCATATACAAGGCAATTGACGGGGTGGCCAGAGCAGTTTTGCTTCTTGATGAGATCAGTCAAGGTTTGAGAACCCACTTCTTTAAAACGTGTGAGGTAGGCTTCAATACTTTCTGCTTGGACAAAACCCCCTTCATCATACCCATCAGAAATTGTCTGGACTTCAATGGAATCCAATTCCATTTGCATAGATTTGGAGATGAAGAAGGTGGTTACAAGGGTGGCTTTAAGACCTTTGAAGGCTAAGCGCTTACAGAACTGCAGCATGGGATTGATGTGGCCTTGGCATGGGTAAGGGAAACCCAAAACATGGGCTCTATAATCCCTCTTTTCTTTCTCCATTCTTTTTCTCTGGTCTCTACCTCTCCTTTCTCTACAAAGTTTTACTACAAGATGGTCTCTTATTTATAGGATTAGGAATCCTTTGTATGACAAAGAAGTCTCTGGACTTTATTTTAAGGTGAAGTACTTATTAGTTCTATCCAGAGGTTATGATATACATCTCCTCTGTTTCTACTTCATTAAAATCATGAAAGATGCCCCATGGGCTGTTTGGGGCTGTTTCTTATTCCAACCTCTATATACAGTGTTCTTTTTCTTGATTTTGAGAGGGGGAAAACCAAGAAACACGTTCTTTTTTTAGATATATGGGGTACTTACTGGGGTAAGTGATACCCATCTCTTACGTGCCAAAATAACTTTCCTACTTGTGGGAAAGGTGACAACACTTGAATGACAAAAAAATGCCCCTTTAAATATTAGACTTTTATGGCTAAAATGTTCATTACCTTATTTACATAGGAAATAAAAGAACATGGGTAAATACACTTACCTCGATAAATCTTTCCTAAGTAAATACATTTACCCAAATAAATAACTTACCAAAAAGCAAACAGAGCCTTAAATTAAAACAAGAAAACCAGACATAAAATACAAAGTGGGGTGAAAAAAAAAATCACCCAGCACTCCCCTCCCACAATAGAAATACTTGTTAATTGCATACATCTATAATACTTGTCTTAGTTTTGTTTTGGTACAAGTCAAAAATGTTAAAATTGATTGTATAACCTCAACTTATATCTTTATTCTTTATTATACATAAACCATTAGTCTAGGAATCTGAAATAAAATATTGCGTTACATTTAGACTGTATTTGGTATGGGAAGGAGCGGCAATTTGATGGTCAGCAGTTTTAACCGATAATAACGAGATAGGACTAGCATTCTTGGCTGTGTAGGGGGCTGTGGAATCAATGATATACAACATTTTAGGCCCCATATATTTTAGGGAGAATGACTGTTCAGTCCATTCCAGAATTCTTAGTCCCATCATACAGGTGGGATGAATCTAGACCATGGATCGATGCCAAATCCATGGGCAAAATGCAGTTTATAGGGGCTACTAGTTAGGGGTGTAAACAGATCGAATTCGAATCGGATTAAGCAATATCCGAATTCGAATCCGATTAGAAAATTTGATATCCAAATTCGATTTGATATCCGATGGATTTTGAAAATTAATATCCAAATTTGAATTTGATTAAATATTCAAACATTTGATTTGATTAATTAATTATTTTAGGTAATTAATCAATATATAAAATAAATATTTTATTTATATAAAGTATATAAATTATATTAGACATTTAAATATTTTATATATTATATATAAGAATTAAATAATCAGTTGAATTCAGATATTTATCGAATTGAATAAGGTCATATCTGAATTCGAATCCGATTAGCTATTCGGTATGAATAGGATATCCAAATTCAACCGATTAGGTATTCGAATTATCTGAATCCGATTTGATTATATTGAATCTCTTATTCAAAATCGGATTTTCGAATATCGTTGACACCCCTACTACTAATAGACTATTGGGGGACTATAATTTTAGATTTCTACAGTTGAGTGCAATGTACTTCACCGTATATTTTATGACTGGTGAAAGGTGTTACATTGGTTTCACAGCTAGAGGTGTAAATCGGGTCATGCCGCTCGCGGCCCAGCACGACCCGACACGACGGTCCGTAGGCCATGCTAGGCCCGACACGATCATGCAGGCCGTGTTGGGCCTGGGGTTTTAGGTCCACGGGTCGGCACAACACGGCATGGCCGAGTGGGCCGTGCCACTCGCGGCCCGTAGGCCGGTACGGCCCAGCACAGCCCACGGCATTGCCTGGCGCAACCCATATACATTATTTATATATTTATATAATATTATATAAATTATAATTATATAATAATATATACGAAATTAATAAAATAAATATATATTTTTTAATTTTATTATACTAATTTATTTAATTATTATATATATAAGCAATTGTATACACAAAATTCATATAAAATTAAAATTTTAAGTTTTTTGTCAATTTTTTTTAAAAAAATAGGTTTGGCCCAATGCATGGCCCGACCTAGTCCAAGGCCTGATCTACGGGCCAGCTCAGCCCACAGCATGGCACGACACAACACTCCACACGGGCTTGGGCCGTGGGCCATGCCAGGCCGACCCCCAAATTTTTCACTGGGGAGGGCGGCACAAACCTGATAGGATTTGTAACTTTTAGACCTATAACCGAACTCACCGGTTCTTAGGACAATTGGTTCAGACCCAATGGACCCAATTATAATAAACCTACTATATATATATATATATATATATATATAGCTCAACCATAACGTAGCCTAGTGCAAGTTAGCCTGATGCAACCCTTCTCGACATTTTCAACTTGTAGGCCTAGTCATTATACCTAGGGTAAGCATAGTTTGTTTAAAATTGAAAAACCAAACCAAAGCTTCAATTTTGTTCTTTAGTTTGGTTTTTTCAATTTTGGTTCCTCAAATTTGGATTTTGGAAGTTTGGTAATCACACTTAAAAGTTTAGTTAATCAAATAAAACAAATTTATAAATGTGTAATATATAATAATATTTGAATATTATCTTATATTTATAATAATATTATGTTATATAGTTATGTGTAAATAATATTTAACATTAATATTTTTGTGTTCATTAAAAAACACAAACAAATTTGGTTTTAACTGAAATAATTGAATAATAATTTTGCTTCAGTAATTTTGATTTTGCAAAAATTCAATGTCGTTTTCACATTAATACCTTCAAATATTTAAAATTCAGTTTATTTGGTTCATTTTTTAATTGAACAAATAGAATACTCACCCCTAATGAACAAACTAGTTAATTAATTAATAAATACCAATAAAATAAAAATTATAACATAATAGAAAACATTATTAATTAATTAATTAATAAACTAATATTTAACGTTTAATTAATTAATAATTGTAATTGGGGTTGCTTTACCTACTATTTTTATTTTTTTAGGTGGAACCAATTCCAAACCGATAATAATCGGGACAATATATTTGAAACCAGAGTCAAATCATCGGTTCCGATTCCTAGAACCATAACCAACCTAATCAGTTCATGAACATTAGGTTTGTCAGGTCAAACCTGACCCATTGAATAACCTATTTCTATGTAATATAAAATAACTTATATAATCTATAATATACATATAGTTAAATATGTGTGGGTCAAGTTAAGCCCAAGGCGGGTTTAAAGTATTAGGCCTATGCCCAACCCTAAATTTTGGGGCTCTAATGAGGGCCCAAGTCTTGGCCAGGGCTTAAATGCAAAATCTAGGTCCAAGAGTGAAATCTTCCAACTCACTAAAATGATCACCCTTGTTTTATGGCAAAAATAGTAGGGTAAGGTGCCTTTAGTACTTTAAACACATAGGTAACAAGAAAGTTACCCAAGACCAATTCATTAGTAAATAGGGTTAGGTGTATGATTGAATTGGTTAAGGGTTGGATCATGGTTTAATAATAATCTGACTAGCTGGTCTCATCCAACTTTCTAAACATTGGTTAGTGTTATATGTTTTATTATATATAGAATAAATAATGCTGTTTTGAAATATGTAGCATATCTATATCTATATCTATATCTATATATATCTATATATATATAAATATATATATATATATTTATATATATATAGATATATAGATAGATAGATATATAGATATAGAGAGAGAGAGATAGAGACTTATTTATATTTTATTTTAGTTTTTCATCTTTCACAAATAAAAAAAGTTAAAAATTACAATTTGAGGCAAAAAATGGTAAAGTGATTGAAATAATTTATTAAACAAATTATTAGTTATTACTTAATTAATAAAATAATAATTAATAATTATCTATCTATACTATATAACTATTACTTTATTAATAATTTATTTATGAATTTAAATAATTTAGTTTAATTGTCATTATTATTTTCATTCATAGATAATTAATTAATTTACTTAAATAATTAAATTATTTTTTGATGATTAGTTTTAATTAATCAAATAATAATTAATACTTATTTATTTCTATTTGAGAAAGTATTTTCTTTTTATTAATGCACTTATGAAATTATTAATAATTTATTTTCTAGTTTAATTATTATTAAGTATAATTCATTAATTATTATTGTTATGCAGTAGTAATGAGCTAATAATTTGTTAATTATTAATTATATTCATTTACTTTAATAAATTCTTAATTATTAATTTACTATAAAAAAGTAATTAATAAATAATAAATATTTTAAATGAATATTATATGATTATTATTTATGAGTTAAGAATAAAACGATTGTAGCTAAAGATTATTAAATTCGTAATTATAGCCACGGAATTTTAGTTATCCGTGGTTATAGTGACAAATTGCTCTTTAGCCACGGATAGAATAACTTTTAACGACGGACAAGTTGCCTGTAGCTGAAACTCAACTTCTGCTTTTGTAACTTATAGCTACGGATACATTATAACCGTGGCTATAAATATCTTTTAGCCACAGACAAAAAAACTTTAACCACGGACAAATTGTCCATAACTAAAGCTCAACTTCTGCTTTTGTAACTTATAGCCACAGATACATTATAACGGTGGCTATAAATATCTTTTAACCACGGACATAATACGGACAAATTGCCTATAGTTAAAGCTCAACTTTAACCATAGACAAATTGTCCGCAACTAAAACTCAACTTCTGTTTTTATAACTTATAGCCATGGACAGAATAACTTTTAACCACGGACAAATTGTTTGTAGTTAAAGCTCAACTTTTAGCCACAGACATAAATTGTTTGTGGTTATATCCCATACTAGCTACGGTTTTTTACTGTAGCTACAATACCATAGCTATAGCCCCATTTTTCTATAGTGTTATATTGTACAAATGACTCTATACGCTGCGACAAACCCTATAAAAGTATATTCGAATGGCGTTCAAAATGAAAGCAAAATAGGGATAAAGAGAAGCAAGCACAAAGAATATACAGATTTACGTGATTCAGCTTATAGGCTACGTCTATGGGCAAAGGAGGAACACAAATCCACTATATAGTCAGCTATGAAAAAGAAATTCAGAGTTGTATACTCAAACCCTCACTCACAGAAAACCCTAAACTCCAAATACACCTAATGTCTCATTCTTCTCGCTTAAGACAAAGACCAAGTATACAAGAGAAAAAAACTCCCAAAATA